GAGCCTCCTATTGGATTGATACCTTGGTTCTCAAAAACTGAGGGAAATACTTTCGCTACTATTGCTGCATCACCCTTTCCTCTTCAAGGAAAACCAATGCAAGCTCAAGACGTAGCAGTGCCGGTGCCGCAGACTGTCGCCAGGGCCGGCTCCTCCTCTGCTCCGCCACCGCTCTCCTTCCCACCGGGGTTTTCACCCCGGCCTCGATTCGTTGCGGTTGCGCAAGCTCTGATGAGTCAAACCCCCCAATGCTTGCTTGTAGATGTAGATTAGGGGTTTATTTTCTTAGGCATGTGCTAGTAGTTAGTGGATTCGATCGGATTAGATAGGATTCAAGTAGGTCCGATTGGATGCGATCCCAATCGAATCCAATCGGACCGATCTGTTCTTGTTTCCTACAGTGTGTGTCCTAGGATAATTTTTTCTGCTACTACTAGTGTGTCCTAGGATCTGTGTTCATGCTAGTAGTTGTGTTCATGCTAGGGTTTGTGTTGATTGTTATACGTGCATGTAGTAGGACCATTTTACGATGATGTCAAATGTGCATGGGTGCACATGGGTGCTATTGGCACTTGTTGTTGCTATTTTTAGTTGTTTCCATGCTTAGGATAGTGCACTGATGAGTGGCAGTTGTGGAAAAGCAGATTCCACTGATCAGTGGCATTTGCTCATGGGCAAGTACCACTGATCAGTGGCACTTGATGTTGGGCAAATGCCACTGATCAGTGGACTTGCCCGACAACAAGTGCCACTGATCAGTGGTACTTGCGCATGGGCAAGTACCACTGATTAGTGGCACTTGCTATTGGGCAAGTCCACTGATAAGATCAGTGGACTTTCCCAACAGCAAGTGCCACTCATTGGTGGCATTTGCTCATACAAGTGGCACTTGCTGTTGGGCAAGTCCACTGATAAGGGGCATTTGCCCAACAACAAGTGTCCATTTTGCAAAGAGTTTGTGCACTAATACTTGTCATCTTACCTGACAAGATATTGAAGAGTGACTGGGATGTGGCGGGTGGAGGAACTCAGGTGGTGGCCGGAGCTGAGCGCGCCAAGGATTTCATCCCCACGAACAGGTGGCTCAGGACGGTGGACCTGCCTAGCAGGATCGCCTTCATGAGCCTGCCTCGTTCAAGGGGACGATCTCCGAGGCAGGGCCATGAGGAGGGGGCCCGGGAGCCATTGCGCTTCTACTAGCAAATCAAGGACAATGAGGACCTCGCCCTGCTCGTCGTCCCTCGCAAGTTCATGGACCTGATGAACACCTGGCTGGTCATCAAGCGGCTCCCACACGTGGTCAGGCTGTCGACGAACAAGTGGTGTGTGTTCTGGGTGCAGGTCCAGAACTTCGAGGGGCACATGGTGCTTGGCCGGGGCTGAGACTACTTTTGCCGCTGCCACCGGGTTGTCCCCGGCGACCTCATCATTGTGCGCATCTCAGGACTCGGACTGAAGGTTCAGATCTACAACCATGACTCCTCGATCATGTGCAGGTTTTGTTGCAGCAGGCACAACTGCGTTGGTGACATTGAGCATGATATGTAGTTAAGTAAGGTGTTAGTGTTGATTTTTATGGTGTATGGCTAGACTTATGGTACTTGTGCTGGGAACTTGTTACTATTTTGGCCAGGAGCAGCACCCTGGCGTGGAGCAGAGAAGGAGGATGCCCCTGCTGATAATCTAAGCAGTTTGTTGCCATTTCTTTGCTTGCTTGCTTGCTTTGTTTGCTCTTGCTTTGTTTGTGCTTTTGTGTTGATCATGTGGTGCTCATTTCTTTGAATGGGGTGAGCAGAACACAACTGCTGTTTGCAACCAAACACCTGAAGTTTGCATCTGCTCACACCCTAAGCACAAAAACGGCAACCAAACAGCTAGGGGTAAGTGTCCCTCCATGTGATGCAGGAAACCAAACAGGTTGCATCTGTTGCATATGAGGCTGGATTTCAAGAACCAGGCTGGCTGGAGATGGACGTGAAATGCATGTACTGTTGCAAACAGGAAGCAAACACGCCCCTGGTGTATACACATGGCTAGGAGTAGGGTTTTGGGAGGTGTCATGTTGATGGAGTCGGTTGCACCGTGTCATTGTAGTATGTCCAAGCTTCGCCCCCTTGTGACAAGGTCTTCATGCCGAGGAGTGTCCGGGGATCATAGAGTTCTTTTTTTAGAAAAGGAGGAGGACCTCCAGCCTCTGCATCTGGACGATGCATGCAACCACTTTATTAATTATTCGCACAAGACCTTACAAAGAAATACAACTGTAAGACTAAAGCCACCGTCTAGCCAACATTTGTCGTTACTCCTATTCGACTGATGAAGGGATGCTGATAGTCTGGGCCTAATAACAAACATGCCTCACAGCCAAACCTAACATCTAAGACCTGAGGTCCCAATCAGGACACCTAGCGGGTATGGGGCACCCGCCAGTCTGGCGCACACCTCAACCAGGACGCCTGCCGGGTATGAGGTCGTCGCAGCCACCTGCCACCAATCCATCCTCAGTGTTGTACTGTTACATCTACCTTGCCCAGTCCAGCTGCCGTCGACGCCACCATGATGCCAGACAACGCCACCATCCAGCCCTCGTCCATCATCACACACCCACCGGCAAGACCCCGCTGAGACCCGCCATTGTCGACGTGCCAGATGCCACGTCGTTCCTCCTTCGTGAACACCACCTGCTGCCACTGGTCACATCCCCTCCACCTTAGTCCTCTCCCGAACACCCAAGCCTCCCCAAATGGCGCCTTCATGAAGGGTACGACGCACAAGTCATCGCCGACGTCCAATCTCGCGGATTTTGGACTTTCGTCCGGGAGGGGGGTCAGGAGACGGAATTAACCACATGGTACCACACACCAACTTCTCCTAGCCAAATGGTGCCCCCATGGAGGTAACGACACCGAGCGCCGCCGCCGCCGCATCCGCAAGGGATAACAGGAATTAACCTTGGGTCGGAGAAGAGGGTGTGGGGAGAAGGGATCTCGCCGATGCCTCCAGGGAGGGAAGCAGCGCCTAAAGGCGGTGTCACCGACGTGGATGGCCAAGCCACCAAAGGTATCCCAAACCCGACTCACACCACCGTGCCCAGCCACCATCAGCCCGGTGAAGATCACCGACGCGAGATCCGTCGGGAAGTGGACCAGATGGAGAACTTCAGATCTGACGCCAGGAGCAAACCGCTAGCCGCATAACGAACATTGCCGCCAACACCAGCACCAACGATGGACGAGGCCCGCCTAGGCCCATCGGCCCTACAGGCCCGTAGATGCCAGATCTGGATCCTGCAGGGGCCAGGCTCGTCGGACGTCGCCTCTGAGCCCCATGGCCGGCCGGACTAGCCACCATAGGGCAGAGGGATGTTGACGAGCCGTCGCCTCACTGCCGAAGGTGCCACTGCGCCGGGGAAGACCACCGCGGGCCAAAGCCCAGATCGCACCCTTTCCCAGGGCGAAACGGCCCCGCCGCCGCCGTCCTTGGCTGCGGCACGGACTTGGCCGGCGCCAGCCTCAAGCGGCGGCGAGGGATCATAGAGTTGTGTCTGTCCTTTGTAGCAACAAGGTTAGTGGTTGTCCTTCTAGTCATCGAAAGATTTTGATCATCGCCTTCATCTATGCTACGATGGTGTGAGATCCAGCATCATCGCGAAGCAAAATGAAACCCCTGTACCTTGTTGATTCTTGTTCCTCTTCTAGGCGGAGGACTCAACGTCACGAGAGCGCAATGATGGCGGCAAGCGAATTTGGTGTGCCAACCTCACCTTTTCTACAGTCAGTGATAGATCTAGGACTGGTGTCGTATAGGCTTTATCTCGTCCGTGAAACTACAATGACGGCTGCCCTATGGGCTACATCCGAGTTCTCAAAAAACCTGATGCCACAAGGACGCGGCTCTAGTGCATGGTGTGTTGGAGGGTTGTCTTGTCTTCCGGTGGCAAGGATGGACAAAGGGCAAGCCACGACCAGGTTCGGCATAGAAGATCCGAGGGGGCGTGTTTGTAATTCTGATTTCTTCAGTGCCATTTCGGCGTCATGCGGGACACGTGCCCCATTCACTGCGTTCTAGCATTTCCCTGTGTGCTCTGTATTTTGACCTAATAATGATACATGCTGACTTTTTTTGCGAAGAATGATATATGTTGACTGGTTTGGTAATAGAAAGGACAAAGCAATAGAAACGTGGCCACTGGCACACATGTGAAGATCGAGCATCTATGATCCATTTGTTTGCTGATGCATAAATATATGATGGAAACGATGCATACATCGCATTAACACAGCAATTTGAGTGGGATACAGATTGTGTTCGCGATGTATGCATCAAAAACAGTGGAGCCAAACCGCAGGAGTTCACCGTATTCAGACTTGAGAGGCTTCGGACTGCCACGCCACCACTCACGCTGGTGCGGTGATCTCACCATGGCATTGCAAGAACGGTGCAGGATGTCGTTGATGACAACTAGGCCTCGTTTTAAAGCGGGAGAGCACCCAAAAGCGGAGCAGGAAAGCACTAGAACGCAGCTAGGGGTACCTCATCTCGGATATCCTCGCGAGATGCCGCGCGCAGCCGGAAAAGGCGATCGAGCGACGGAAAGCGCAGGCGCAGCAAAAGGACACATCAAAGTTGGTGGCATGGCATCGATCACCCCCGTGACAAAAGCCGCATATCCTCAGGATGATACCCTCAACTTCCCATGTTCCATCTGCCACACAGTTCCCCGGCAAACTTGCAACATTTGCTCCCTGAACTGTCCCAGATTTGCAAACACCAGCAAATCTTAGTCTACTTTGACACATAATAGGACTACTAGATATGAAGAGATTTGCAATCCGGACTGGAATTGAGTTTGAGGCAGAGTTCATGTGGGTCGATGCAAAACTGTGGTTTCAGGTACCAATGGAAAAGGCGTGACTAAACAAACGGGTTCTTTTTCAGCAAAGGCAGAAAGCCCCTGGAGGTCTCGTAGAGGCAGCAACACTTGCAGATAAAAGCACCCAATGGGAGCTTCCTCTTCTCCCCCTCTCACGCCCGGTCCTGCCCACGTACGGCCGGCAGGGCCGGGAAGGGCACACTCCGTTATCCAATCCGGCGTCCGTGCACGCAGCGCACACCATGTAGGCCACAAGATCTCAGATAGCTTATGTCACGGTGGTGGCATAAGCTACCAGTACCAGCTGCATGCCTGTGCTCTTCTTCACTTGGAGGCTTGGAGTGTGCCCTCGGCCATGGCCCATGGGCGCGTAAGTAGCACCCGATGGATCCGGCGTTGGCTAGCCATCTCCATCCTCCATCAAGCTGCAGCTAGCTAGGCTACTTGGGTTCTTGAGGAAGATCTGGGTGAAACGGCCATGGCCGGCCGGCAGGGCCTCGTCCACGGCGGCGGCGGCGGCGACTTTTCACCTCTACTAAGGTAGGGCAACTTCTATCCTTTGGCAATTGTAACTTCTTGATCGGGGGCGTGATGATCTCTCTCCTGTGAGTACCGGTGACAGATCATAGCATGGTGCGAGTCTTCAGCGTCGTGTAACTACTAGTAGCTAGCTATACCAAATTGATATGAAGCTAGCTAGTGGTAACTAGCATGGGTGTGTGTGTATGATTCTGCTTGAATACTTCGATTCTGCTATCTATGGGCAGTTTACTTGTTGAGTTTTGTATCTGGTAATATATCTCTTTCGTTAACCCCGGCCCTAGCAAGTTGTCGACTAGTGTACAGTCGATAAATCAATATAATTTGATGTGTGTGCACAGAAGATTGTGTTTGTAAAATACTGATTCTTCTCCGTGGACGTTGATGTACAACAGTCGGTCAGCGTCGATCGATGGATGCAGGTTCTATTCTTCTGTTGATTTTGGATTCATACCAATACTTTTCTAGTAATATACTCCATCATCATAGTACTCTCCCGGCCTTTGTTCAATCAATTTGTCAGGCTTAGATACTCCTCCCTCCGCCCCAAAATAAGTGTCACTGAGTTAATACAATTTTAGTGCACAACTTTAGTGCAAAGTTATACTAAGTTGGCAACACTTATTTTGGGACGGAGAGAATAATCATTTTTTTAAGAGTGAATTCCACTTTTTACCCAATATTTATACATTTGTGACACTAATTACCCCTTCGAGTGAAAATTCGTCTAGAATACACCTTTTGAAATCTTTGGACCCTTGTTTTTTGATGCGTGTCCATCAGATAAGGTGTGAGGTGACGCCCTGTATCCAAAAACATGTGGACGGCCACAAGAAGTGGAATAGATAGACAAGAGAAGCTTGGACAAGATTGCCAATGATGCCCTCCGATCCTTACAGTTTTTTTTACAAATCAATGACGCAACATGCCGATCCTATCGACCATAAACAGACAAAATGTAAAACTGGGGTAAAACCGTGTTAAAAGTCTCCAAGATCTGACATTTCGATAAAAGTTCCGCTAAATAGGGTAATATGTGTCACAAATGTACAACTACAAGGTAAAAAATGGAATTCACTCTTTTTTTAATAAAGGGTGGACTTTACTGACTCAAAATGAAGCATCAAGAGGATACAAACACAATGAGAACACACCCGGTCTCTGCATAGTTAGGATGCACACGACCAACACCAACGCACGCACACAAAAGCACGCCGGCAAATAGCAAAGCCATATAAGACCAAAACTATGCGTAGGCGAGGAAAAAGAAAAAATGCCTCAAAGCGATCAGATCCGCGATCGGCAAACTATAACAATGACCATATCTGCACCGACAATCTAATGACACCACGCGAACGACGAGGTTCTTCAACAACAACGTCTTCAGGAAGGGAGCGACACTCAAGTGTCGCCGTCACCGGATCCAGGCACCCAAGGCTAGAATCTAGGCTTTACCCTGAAGAATCAGTCTGAGCATTCCGAACAATGTCTTCAACAAGGTAATGATGTAAAACATCGTCATTGCCAGGTATACCTAACTCGGGCCAGACCCAGACTTTTACCCCGGAGCTCGAGACCGGGTGCTCAAGTAGCACCATCATCGAAGTCATTCATGGTTGTCGCCACCACTTCTCCACGATCACAGCAGTTACATGCGATGTGACCATCACCGCCGCACAACCATCCCTCTGCATCAAGACTTCGTCCATAGATTGCATCTCGCCGCCGAAGTCAACCATCAGATCTGCAGAGATGAAACTCACAGAAAAATCTTTCGATGGTGACCGCAATCAGCAAGGCATGGGCTGCAGCTAGTCAACGGCCGTCTCTGCACGCATGTGCACATCTCAAGAGGCCATTGTGTGCAGCATCCATGCAATCGTACTCCTAGCCAAGGACACCAAACCAGATCGGAAGACCGAAATAACCGGCTAGCAACCAGATCGGGAGGTACCAAGCCATGGACATGATCCAGACCAGAAAGCCGGCAATCACCAGCGAACGAGATCGGGAGGCCGGCAAACGCACAGCGGCGACGGAGGCGGCCAGATCAGGAGGCGGCCATCAAGGAGAGAATAGTCATAGTATCAGCCTTTAGAAATTGTCAAGGAAAAGGGGTGACTGCTTATTTGTATGTCTATATATCAGACCCCACACCATATCATTGCGTTTCATTTTCCAAACTCCACTTCTTTTCATATAGCAACAACCCTTGATCAAAGAGACCGTCCGATTGAATCCAGCAAGGTCAACATCGTTATAAGCTTGACTGCTTGATTATGGCCACTCTCTTTGTTATGAAATACTATAAGGTGCATTATTATTTTTGAAGTCAAACACTTCTACTTCTATGCTTGATCAAGTTTGTAGAAAATTAGATGATGGCCAACGCGATTGCTGCCGGAATCTTGTGAAAAATGAAATGCTAAATAAACTAAAACAATGTAAGAGTATTTTAGATGACTAAGTTCATAAAAAAAACATGCATGCATTAGTTGATGAGGTGGCAGCTTTGCACGAATAAATTAATGCACATAAATTTTGAAAATGTGTTCCCTGGAATTTATTTGAATTTATTCCATCACCGTCTGTTACCTTGCGGGCCCCCCCTGTCCGACTTGTCATGGGGCAACGGCGCTAGTTGGCCGGTTAGGCGGGGTCAGATAGATTATAGATCTGAATGACACACTTACTGCACTTTAAGGATCTAGATGTCAATTTTCATAATCTGAGGACCTACATAACACCACTAAAATAGTTTAGGGACCAATAACGCATTTCACTCAAAATAGAGACCAAAAGAAAACAGCAAAGAAAAACGAAATGCAAAAAACAAAAAACAAAAAACAAAAAAGGCTCACCTCCATTTTCCTCTACCTTACACCTGACATGTGTAGCCCAGGACAACACCAAAAAATGGAAGAGACCAACCGGAAACGAAAAACATATTGATTCTAAAGGACAATGGAAAAAAAAACTACCACTCAAAAGCTCAGTCTGGCTAAACTAATTCTCAAAACCGCAACTTTTATTGAATTGAACAAATCGATTACACACTTTCAGAAATGTGATTTCGCACACGTTGAACGGAGCAAGCATGTACTGCTACTAGTACATAAATAGTCGGTCACAAACTTACTGTCATACACTCATATTAGTTCTTCCTTTGAACGACCTGGAGCTTGACACCGTTCTTGAAGTTGGTGACGATGGAGAACTGCAGCTGCAGTGGGGACTCCATTCTGGTCGAGTGCCTGAAGACGTAGCGGCGGTAGAGGTGGATGACGGTGAGCTTGAGCTGCTGGAACGCGAACTTCTGCCCCGGGCACGCCCGCGGGCCGATGCCGAAGGGGATGTACGCGTAGGGGTGTCTCCGCTTGCACTGCTCGCTCTCCGGGTCGAAGCGCTCCGGCCGGAACGCTTCGGGCTCCGGGAACTGCTCCGGGTCCCTCCCCAGCACCGCCGTCGCCAGCCACACCCACGTCCCCTTGGGCAGGAAATAGCCTCCGATCTCGACGTCGGCGGTCGCCTCCCTCGAGACCACCGGGGAGCCGGGAAAGTATCGCATGGTCTCCTTGACGACCTGCTCCAGGTAGGGGAACTTGGTGCGGAGGTCGTCGGCGTCGGGCACCACGTCCTTGGGCCCGAACGCGTCGATCTCCTGGAGCAGCTTCCCCTCCACCTCCGGGTGCGCCGACACGAGGTACACCAGGCTCGACAGCGTGAAGGACATGGTGCCGGAGCCCGCGAGCAAGTGCTCGTACGTGAGCGCGCTGACGTAGTCCGGCGTGAAGAGCTTCCTCATGGCGTCGCTGGTGTCGATGCCGTTGAGCAGCACGGAGAGGAAGTTCTTCTGGCCCCGGTCCGCCTGAGCCGCCCGCTCCGCCACGATGGTGTCGAGCTCGCCGCTGAGCGCCGTGTTGGTCTCGTCCATCCGCCGGTCCATGGAGCCCGGCACGCGCAGCATCAGCTGCCGCAGCGGCTTCTGGAGCGCCGGCAGGAACGTGCCGACGAGCATGGACAGCGAGCCCGACAGGTCCATCTTGAGGGACGTGGTGGCGTACAGGTGCTTCTGGATGAAGTCGCGGGGCGCGTCGTGGATGATCTTCTCGGCGTCGTCGGCGGCGTCCTTGGTGAGCCCGAAGTCGACGCCGAAGGCGGCCTGGCCGATGACGTCGGTGAAGAGCCTGATGGAGATGTCAGAGAAGGTGATCTCCTCGCCGGGGCAGAACAGGTTGCCCGCCTGCTCGATGTAGGGCTGGATGGCCGGGATGAGGCTCGCCAGGTGCGATGGCTGGTAGATGGAGATGATCACGTTCCGCATCGCCTGCCATGTCGAGCCCCTGCACATACACGCATGCACACCGTTAATTACTTCTACTTAATTACGTACACAAGAACTGCATGCACACCGTCACATAAGTAGTTGACAATTTGTAGTAGTACGTACTTGGTGAAGAGGAGGCTCTTGTAGTGGATGGGCGAGCTAGCGATGGTGACCGGCACGCTCCTGTCGACGATGCTCTTGAACTTCTTGATGCCGGCCTCCCTGCACAGCTCCGGGTCGGCGACCACCACCAGCGGCTGCCTGCCCATGTAGAACCTGTAGATGGGCCCGTATTTCTTTGCGAGGACGCCGAACGCCTGGGAGCCATGCTTGTCCAGCAGCGGCAGGTGGCCGACGAGGCCGTAAGCGAGGGGGCCCGGCACACTGCGCAGGCGCCATGACGGCGCGTAGAAGTACACTGCGAATGCGCCGGCCGCCATGGCCGCCACCGTGAACAGCATCGCCGGGAAGGACGCCAGCGGCGAGCCCACCTGGCTCCACAGTAGTGCTGTTCCCGCCCCCTCCATTGTTGAAGTTGCTTAGCTAAGCTTGGTGAGTCTTATCCGGCCGTGGCCTCTTTCTTGCTTGGAGACAAGTGGATGAAAAAGATATACTGGATCGCGTGGCCATGGGAGCACTTATATACACATACGGCGTAGTAATGATTGCCAAATTGGACTTTTCTCTTTGGGAGCATGCGGCCAATAAATGGGAATTTCTTTTTGTTTTGAGGGTCAATAAATGGGAATTTCGGGGAAAGAGACGCATGGAAATTTCCATGATCAGCTGCACGTGGTCGTAGAAGAGAGAAAGAGCGATGTTCAAGTCATCAGGCCCTACGAATGCGGTCGTAACACGTCGTGACTCGCGAGTAAAGAGTGGTTTTTCTATTCTATCATGCATGTGAGATTCGCGTGTCACATTTTTTGGTTTCTGGAAGCTTGTCTTGTTTAAGATCATTACGGAATGCTGAGTTGGTTTTATGTTTCAAGGTGTACCATCATACAGTATTTCGTTATGTATTAGCAAATATGCTGTGAAAGAAATGCACTATTATATGTTAGTATACGGTGCCAGTGGCGGAGTTTGAAAGAAATCTTAGGAGGGACGAAGCTACAACCTTTTTCATACGAAATTGTAGAACTATCCCAAATTATATGGATTGAATCAATTATATGTGAAGTGTCGATCTTGCGTATCATAAAATTCGCAATTCTTCAAAAGGGACTGCATAAGACTTAGTTTCAAGTCTGCTCGTCGCACATCATCGCTTTGATTAGGTGGATATTGCCAAATATGTGTACACAATGCTGGATGCCGTTCCAAGAATTTAATCCCTGTCCGAGTTTGATGCCATTGTTCTTTATGACTTTGATATTCAAACTGGAGCAACAAGAGAGTTGACCGGTCATTCCGTCAATGTTAGTTCATTAATTTCACACTCACATCTATTTCTTTTGTATAAAATGAATCAGTTGTACTCCCGTTCCCACCATCGCTAGCTTGGGTTCTTTAGACTAGCCACAATGGGTAGTAACATACACTAGTAACATACACATATTCCTAAACTATTTTACTACCTTCATAGTGAGTAGTAACATACACTAGTAATATACACATATCCCTAGACTATGTTACTATCTTCATAGTGGGTAGTAACATAAGTGTAGTAACATGCAAAGCTTCATTTATTAGGTTATAGACTCATATTACAATGAGATATGTGATGTTACAGTAACTAGCTAAGTTATTATAACTATCTCTCATCATTAACTCACTGTCACATAAGCAAATTTGCTGAGTTGGACTTGATGGTACTGCTGAAGTTATTTCCATTGTGGCTAGTCCTAGGCTGTAAACAACAAATTTATTTAGTCTAAAATATCTGACCTAATTAGAACTCTCCCCCACCAATTAAGATGCAGCAGGAAACTATTATTAGTCGAATTGGTTAAAATTACCGACGGGAGAGGGTGAGTAGACTGTTGCTCAGAGCAACTCTAGCAGACCCTGCAAAAGGCCCCGACCCGAAAAATAACCGCCAAAATGCGGGTCGGCGCGGAAAATCCCGCCCGAACAGACTCCGCATCCGCGTATGACCCGGAATTTTTTTTGCGTGGCGTGGCAAAAGATCTTCCCCGACCTCTATTTTCACGGGGCGGGAGCACGACCCGAGCTCGACCCTATCCGCAACGAGATTTGGTGGGAGGGACATTTCCGCGCGGCCGTTCCCGCTCCTCCCACCCTCCACCACCATTGCCCCAGCCACCTCCTGCTCTGGTTCATCTTCCCCGACGGACTTTCGCCGCCATGGATGACACCTTGCTGTCCTCCGGCTTCGTCGAGGTCGCGCACTCCCAATCCCCTCGGGTGGATCTCGTCGCCGGCCATGTTGGCCCCGCCGTCGCCCAAGGCGCCACCGCGGCTGCCTGCAAGCGTCAGGGCAACGTGCTCGTGCAGGGCGGGAACCCGGCTGCCCACACCGACAGGGCCCGCGCTCCGGGCGCCAACACGGGTGCGTGATCCCGGCCGGCGGCAGCGAAGGTCGCCAAGGTCTCGTCCGCAAAGCGGAGGAAGATTCCGGCTACAAAGCGGCCGACTACTTCATCCACTCCCTCCAGCCCGGAAAGTGGTTCCCCGGTGACCCCGCTAAACGGTGATGCTCCCACTACAGGCGATGGGTTCGACGAAATGGGCGCAAGGTATGACTCGGTCATCCCCTCACTCTTCGGTCATGGAAATTTCCTTTGCTTTCGCGATAGCTCGTGACTTGTTGTCGTTCGCTATAGCGGTGGTTCGAACAATGCAACTCCCGAGTTTGTGAACTTGTTGGACACCAACGTCATTGACATCGATGAGGCCCCATTCGCCGCATTTGAATACAATAAAACGGAGGGCGGCGTGGATGATCATGGGGGTGAAGAAGAATTGGAGGAGATCGATGAGATGGCGTATGAGCAATCGCAAGCAAAGAGTGAAAAAAGCCAAAGATCGAAGAACTACACGATCTTGGAAGATCAAATCTTGATCAAGGCATGGAGTGCGGTGTCTCTTGATATATGCACGGGTACTTCTCAAACCCCCAATAGGTATTGGCAAAGGATCGAAGGTCAATATTTCTGCATGATGGCAAAGTATCCCAATAGGACTCCACGCACCTTTCTGTCACTCCAAGGGCGTTGGACGTGATCAAGCCCATTTGCAGCCGCTGGGCAGCTTGGTTGGAGCAAGTATGCAATGCACCTCCAAGTGGAACCGTGGAGTCCGACTATGTGAGTTCATTTTACCTTTGTTCAAGTTGTGCACATCACATTGCATCATTCAAAATGATTGCATCATATGAAACATTTGCATCGTTCTATTTGTGTAGGACAAAATTACCCAACAAAAGATACAAAGACATGGAGGCTTCTGAAGACAGATTCTTCAAACTAGAGCATTGTTGGGAATTGCTCAAGAATTGCGACAAGTGGGCGTTGATAGAGAAAGAATCCCCACCGAAGAGAGGTTCACTTACAAACATGGATGAAGATGAGGATGATGATGGCCCAAGGAACTTGAACAAGCCCGATGGCGACAAGAAGACTAGGGAGAAAATGAAGAGAGAGCACGAAGCGTCGAGCTTGAGGGAGAAGATTGATGCCATGGTGCAATCAAATGAGATGATGTTATTGAAGTCATTGGAGATCAAGAAAGAGTTGGCTGAGAAGAAGGCATGGGAGAAGCAAGAGAAATGGCAATTGCTCAAGGAGGAGGGGCTGCGCAAAGTGGCCATTGAGGAGAGAAGAGTACGTGCCGCTGAGAACAACGCCACGTCCATGTTGCTCGCCGAAGATAACAAGATAATGACAATGAACCGCAATGACATGGAAGACCTCACCAAAGAATGACATGATATGGCAAAAAGAGAAATGTTGAAGAGGAAAATGGTTGCGTCGGCCAGTGCGTGTTACAGTGCGGGAGGTGAATTCAGTGCGGGGTTTGGAGCCAATGTCGCCGATGCGTTCAGTGCATCAGCCGATGCTTTCGGTGCGGGAGTTGGAACAAGCGCCGGAGGTGGATTCGGTGGTTCTGATGATCTCCATGGACTCGATGGCACAAGTGAAGATCGACCAAGATGATGCCGGACGTGGTCGCTGCTTTTGCAAGTCCTTTTGCATTTGTCCTACCAAAACTATGCTTTTATTTCACGCGTGAACTATGTTTTAGCGTTTGAATTTGAACTCATTTGTCGGAATGACTATCAAATGCGTTTATTGGGGTTTTTGGTTTGCGGGTCGGCGCGGCGCTGCCCGAGCAGACCCCGCAAAATGGACCCGTAAAATCGCATATTCACCGAATATACTTTTTTACGGGTCCGTTTTGCGGGGTCTGAGTCTGACCTCGCCCGCGCCGGCCTGCATACACACTTTTCCGCGAACTGCAAAACACTTATGCGGGTTCGCATTTTACGGGGTCTGCTAGAGTTGCTCTCTGTAGCTCACCTTGCGGAGTGACGGTGTCGCCCTGATGTTGAGCGGGGCCACGACGAGACGTTGAGGCCTCTGGCAATCTGAGACGGTCGGGAGAACGGACCCTGTGGCGGCCGACCCACCGTGCCCCACGCCCGAACGCATCTGCCCCAGCCCCAGCCTGTCACCGTTAGCCAACACCAAAGTCCGCGCAAGAGGCGAGACAAGAAGAACAAATTTTTTTTAGGTATTAGAGCATTTACAATCAGACCTGGCAAATCCGGTCCCCTATATGTTCATGGACGCGCCTAGGCATGCCGCACGCCTACGGACGCATCCGGACGACCCTCATATTTCATTTCTGGCATCCACAAATCTCAAATCAATGCACGTCGATCATACAAAGCCATTATTGCACGTAAATAAATAATATTGGTACCGAACATAAATAGTGTTTACATAATTTTGTTTTAAATGCACAACTCAAACATTAGCTCTTTGGTTTCCATTCTAGGTCCATATACGCTCCATAAGATCATTGGGTAGCTGCGCGTGCACCTGGTGATCTTGAAGATTCTAATGCATCTATAGAAAGTTCATAAGTTGAGCTGCATCTTGATCTTCTGGGATTTCAACTTGTTGTCCAGGTGCTTTAAAATCATTGATTTGGGCTACACCATCAACCTCACCTCGACAATCATATTGTGCAAATAACACACCATGTCATGAGTTGACACAAAGTTTCTGATTCCCACATCATTGCAGCCCCACGAATAATTCCCCAACGAGCTTGAAGAACACCAAATGCCATCTCCACACCCTTACTGGCCTCTTGCTGCATTGTTGCAAAGTTGCTCTATTTATTACCATGCGGTTCGGATATGGTCTTCACAAACGCCGCCCACTAAGGATAGATGTCATCGTAAGATAGTACCATGTTGTAGTCTCGGTCGTTGCCGTTGTAGTTGCACGATGGTGATTCTCCATTGCAAAGCCTCCTAAACACCGGAGATCGTTGAAGCACGTTGATATCACTGTGAGAACCCTGCATTCTAAAGAAAGCATGTCAAATCCAT